AAAAATAGATAACGAAACTTTAGCATGACCAGTTAATGGAGGAGGTAACGTATCACACATTGTCTTATCAATTAAATCTAAATTATTATATACAAAGAAGTCTATGAGATCAGGTGAATGTTTCGGATCATATGGGAAATTAGTTGGCTTCCCCGGGGTTATGAAATTACCATTTGCCAGGTTAACCGCTTCTAATAACGAGGATCCCTTGGGATTCGAGATCCTGGAACCCCAGCGAGGATCCTTGGCGTTCCAATCTCCTCCTACCAGATAGGAGATACCTAGTTCACTCAGGAAGTTGGTGTAATCTTCAGTAGATAAGATGTTTCGGGGCGGTGTATAAAGCGACGCTATATTAAAATCGCCGAGGCCAGTCTCGATTCTAATCACAGCGCTCTGAAAAGCTTCTGTTTCAATAATTTTTATTAAATTATGTTTTACTTTTTCTTTGATTAGAACCGAGGACCCACCTCGACGTTTATTTGCAGGGTGCATCGCATTATACATCCTGTACCCCGCGAAATACCTCTTAAAATCGTTTTTGGTGAACCAGGTCTCCGACAGGAGGGCTATGTCCACATCAAAATCCCTAAGCGTGACATTGAATTCCTCGGCCTTCATCCGTGTCAGGCCGCCGCAGTTCCATGCCATAAAATTTAATGATGATGAGATGTTTGTAGATTGTAGCCGTACTACATCATTGTAATCAATGACTGCATCGTTCTGCTCGGAAAAAAGACAGTCATCATTATTTTGAAGAGACATAAAGACATTTTCATTAGAATTACACATATAAAGGAAATGAAAAAATGAGTCATTTTATTTATTGGAACGAGCTTCCAATCGTCCAATTTTCTCATTTAAGAGTTGAATTTGCACGTTGAGTGCTTGGATCGTTGTTAATAAGGTATTGATGATATCAGCTTGAGAGGATGACTCATTATTTTTATTGCCCGCCACTGCCTGTGCAAAGGACTTGTCTAGAGGTTTTGGTTTTGAGGCCATACCCGTTTTATTTCCTAATTGAGGAAAATTTTTTCCATTATTTTCAGGATTTTTTTTATTTTTCAGTAATTGCTTCCTGGCAACCTGAAATTCCTTTGCAAAAGGACAACCGCGGTAGCTGGCCGGGTGACCAATGGCACCGCAGTTGGCGCATTTTGGGTTGGATATTCTACCCTTGTGGATGCAATCAGCTGATAAATGTCTACCAGCACATTTGACACATCGGGGGGTTTTTGCACAATAGTTTGCGGTATGTTGGAAACCACAACACCGTTTGCACTGAGGTACTATAGTAGGGTTAATTTTGAGTGGTTCAATTTTCACCATGGTATGTGCAATTGCCTTAATGTTATGAATTTTTTCAATTGATTCTGTGTAATCAAAATCTAATTGATGTACGGGAATTTTGATTAATTCGAATTCTTTAATTTCCTTTTTTGGGATGGAATTTTCTTCTTGAGGTTTGTTATTATCAGCTGACGCAGATTTTTGATTAATTTTAACTACGCGTTTTCTCATGCATACCGCGTTTTTTATTTTGAAATTTTTATCTAAAAGATCCTGCATTATTTCTTCTTCAGAAATTGAAGGTGGAAGACCTTTACATAATACTTTAATGTTGCGAGTATTCTTATTCGCATGAGAGTACCATTGTACATCTAAATTATTTAAAAGTTCAGAAATCTTACGATAAGCGTCCTCATTATTGGGGTTCACTTTCCAGATTTCCTTGCTGATAAAGCGGATTGTATATTCTTCTTTTTCAGAAGCTGTACTTAAAATTTTTTTAACATCTTCAAAAGATTGAATACCTATAATTTTAATGGGGGGAGGGGGTAGTATCTTAACTTTATTTATCTTATCACTAGAGTTGTTAGAGCTAGACTTATCCTTAGGTTCTACAGATGAACCAGTATTGTCGCCTTGATCTTTTCCATTGGAATTTCCACGCTTGCGTTTCTTATTTTGCCTCCTGTATGCGAGACGTTTTTCCCTAAATTCGGGATCTGAGTTGTCATCCTCTGTGGTTGAATCATCATCTGCGAGGGAGGCTTCATTTTCGTTTGTTTCCATGTTTTCCAACTGGAGTACATCGAATTTGTTGGTTGTAGATACTGCAACTGAACTTAAATTAGAATTAGGTTCTAAAACTTGTTTAGAATTTAGGTTTGGAACCGAGTTCCTACGTGCTTTTGCTAGTCCTGGAAGCTCGGTCAATTTAAGCTGACCCTGTTGATTTGAAATCTTGCGATGTTGGGTTTTAGTGACATTCTTAACAGAATTAGGTTGGGTAGAGATTCCTTGACGAGGGGAGGAGATATTTGAACTACTAGAAGTTTTTTAGAGTTTTTCAGTTCATCTATTTGAGTTTGTAGGTTAGAAATTATAGCCTGGTACTCACTGTCCTTTTGAGTGATAGTGGCATGTTGTGCCATGAAAGAGTCGAATTTTGCTGCAAGCGCACTGTTTTCACTTTGGAGAACTTTATTTTGGTCCGAAAGGTCTTTTGCAACTTTTTGCGAATTTATCATAAAAGTTTTCACTGATGCATCGATTTGATTGCTATTTAAAACCGGGTTTAAATTTGCATGTATCACTTGGTCTATCAGTGTTAAATTAGCTGGCAAAGGATTAGAATCCGATCCGGTGGATTGATCTTTTTCTACCCCCGCCATTTTCAGGGGGGGTAGTTTTAAAACTTGAGTTTTAAAAACACTATTTTAGGAAGTTTTAGCGTTCGAGAAGCACGAAATACGCTGCAAGCAGCATAGAGAAAAGCACTTAAGATTTATCACTATGATTAGAGGGAGCGCTGGACTGAGAGAGACTTGTCGCAACGGCTTATCAGACAGCACTGGTTGACATGTCATACAATAAAACACCCCCAACACCCTGAAATAATTCCGATTTTTCTGCACAATTTTACAACATTGGTGACGTCACAACATAAAACATTGTTGCCAGATTGTATACTATAACACATCTATACTATAAGCTCCAAGACCTCCTAATTTTGCGAAACTGGTGACGCTTAGTTCCAGCGTTCTACCGGGCCGATTTTCATGATTTTTGCGGCTATCGACGGGCAATTGCCTCTAGATAAGCCAACTCTTTTCAGATTTTCAAAATATGGCCCAGGTTTTTTTATATTACGTGGTAAAGTTGCGAATTCTCCCATTTAAACAATGTAAATTTATACTTTTTGTCATAGTTCGTTTGAGCGTTCTACCGGGCTGATTTCCATGATTTTTGCGTAAATCGACAGGTAATAGGCCGTAGATGAGCCCGCTGCGATCAGATTTTGGAAAAAGGACCCAGGTTTTTTTAAAATCACGTTATAAAAGTGAGTGAGTTTACAGAATGCTCCGGTACTGCTACCGCTATGCGCGGGAGGATGCGCAATGCTCGAGGAGGTTGCGCAGTAGCTGGGTAGCCTGCGCATCAGCTCTACACGTATCTACACAAGATTCGCACTCAAGACTTCAAGTCGAGCGGTGGCCGAGTCGTCTAAGACGTCAAATGCGTCCGCTAGGATCACTATGTGGGTTCGATCCCCGACTCTTGAAATCCTTCTTAGTACCTATTTATCATTCTTCATTGTTTTACTGCAATATTTCATCAAGCAGTCATTCCAAAATGCGTCCTTTTAATTTTAAAGTAATTTTAAGTAAAGTTTAAAATTAAAGTATACCTCATATTGTATTTTTTTAGGGGAAAAATAAAACTAACACTGATAGGAGGGTAAAAATAGGGCCGCGAAGCGGCCCATTGATGGCGCGGAGCGCCTTCATATCACATATCCACCATCGCGAAATAATTCGGATTTTTCTGCACAGTCTGGCAGCTGGGTGAGGGCTACTTCCCATATTCTAGCTACTGTTATGTTGATCTAAAATCATCACACGTTGATAAGAAGTCCACTGGTTTTTCATGCAATCATTTTCCTCTGCGAAACTCACAAGTAGATCTTCGAAATTTTTTTTTGGGTGAAAAAGTCAGAATTTTAGAATGATTTCCAATTTTTGATTCTTTCCTCCGAAAAAAAATTCCAAGATATGAGGCTGTTTCGTTGATCATACTCTAAATATTGCTCTAAATCACTTACGAAGGCGGAGATGAAACGGCGGAGGCGGTATCTTCTTCTTTAACCTTCGCAACTTGGTTCAAGATTCCATCGCATTGCTTCTGGTCCATTTTTGGTAACAGTAACAAACTACTAGACACAGCACTAATGAGTAAACGAATGAGCACAGCGGTAATGAGTCTGAATAAAGTCTGTGCGGGGGTGCTTTCCCACGATCAGCAAGCTGGACACGGCCACCTTATCAACGGATGGTTTCGGGTCGCGAGCTCAAGCAGCCAGGCTAGGAATGTCGCGTAGCAAAACGAATCAGCCAGATGTACGCTAAATTTATGAACATTTTCCCCATGATAATATTCTCAACAATAATTTAGTTCATTCAACCAATACCCTGTATGATTTTTGACAACAATTGAAAAAAATTTGGAAACTTAAATTGCCATAATTTGGAAACCTGTATTGAATTTGACAAAACATATCAACCAGTTCATTCAACCAATACCCTGTATGATTTTGACAACAATTGAAAATAAAATTGGAAACTTAAATTGCCATAATTTTGGAAACCTGTATTAAATTCGACCAAAAATATCAACCTGCATTGTTGTCACATCTAAAATAATTCACAAAAAATTCATCTTTTTCAACAGTCAAACCGACAACAATGCAGTGTCCTCAAATCCCTATTTTTCCCCTACTAATTGTAGCAAAAGGAGACATATGAGAAAGCCGTAAGTGCGCAAAAAAATGACGTAGTTTTGGGCAATAAGACAAGACAGCAGTAAGTGACAATGTTCCTCCAGAGCCAATGAATACACTTAATTTCATATCAGTAAAGGAAGACTCCATGAGGTTACAGATAAGAGAAGTTCCACGCAAGAGTCGATCATTAATTTGTTGAAAAGAGGTTAGTAGCTTCCTAAAATGTTTAGATCGTGCCATATATCCTAGTTTTGCGTTAACTCTGATCCATGCTAGAATCCAAAAAAGTCTCCCGAAGTCTCTGGTCCACGAATCGCAAGCCTCTTTCCCTTTTAAAAATGATTTGGGCGCTTATACAGCCAACAACAAGAATTCGAACCGTATTTAAAGCCTGTGTTCTAAAACGAGTCACATTTGTGCGGTCTCTAAAAAAATGTATGAACTTATATTTTACTGAATGAAACTTTTGGGAATCTTATTCGATTCTTCATACATTAAAAGTGGTCAAAGGAACAGATTTTAGCAAAATCAGCGTAAGTGTATTTTCACAGGGCCTTATATTCTCTCCCAATGAATTTCTCTATAAGGATTTCTTAGGGACATGATGTCTTTAAGCTTCTTGTATATTTCTAATAGATTACCTAACAGGAGTGAATTTTAAAGATGTACTTGGAATGCTTGGTTTTTTGTGAAAAAAAGCTTCATGACGGGAAATCAAGCAACTTGATATGCTGACACGTTAGGACTGAATCTGATACATTCTATCCCAATAAAACCATAAATTTCGTTAAATTTGATTTTCACACAAACTGAAATGTTGCGATATTTTAATTTTCAATTAAGCATCGATATAGTACTACAATAGGTACCTATTTCAGATATCATAGCTCTTTTCCCCATACTCTAACATTCTTCCTCCCATCATTTTCCTCTAGTTATTTTCCTGAACACAAGATAACCGCGCGATAAAGTGATCCTCTGAATAAGCCATTTTTGAAACATGCAGCGTTTTATGAAACGGATACTACAAAATCGCCTCCAGCAGTTTACAAAGAAATGAAATAAGTGTATCATGAAGAATACATGAAACCATGGAACATGAGCAACAAGCATAGTTAGAGAAATTATGTTTGTAAGGGGGAGGGGGTGCAAGTATGTAGGTGGCCACAAGTCCCTTTGATGATTCAAAGAATATGCCACATCTGATCAATCAGTGCAAGAGAGATAGGTAATAAAACAGCGAATGACCGGAATAAGTTGAGCCTTGCCCCCGATGCCCTCCATTAACCACCGTGCCATCTGGGGCCCTCATTATTAAGCAATTAAGTGGTCTTGCCGTCACGAATTCGCACTAAGTACCAATCTCGCATAAAACGAGCCGGAGCTTATGAAGTATTTCATGGGGGAGGGGGGGGGGGCAAAAGCCCATTCCCTCTTTGCGGGGGTCCATCGCTATTGAGCAGCTTTATTACAGCTTTCCTAGAGGGCAGACCCCCTCGTTCGGGACTTCCCTCGCCTAGTTATGTTCTGCCACTTCAGCTTGTATATTGGCTGACGGCTGTGTCGGGCGTCTGAACGTAACTATTCGATTAGATGTTTGTGCGTGTTGCACATGCGCTGGAATGAAGGCGCACCCCGACTTCCCTTGCGTTAAGCATAATTCACAAGTCTCGCTCAGTCACCTCTGTCCGTGTTCCACCCTAAGTTTGTTTTTAATTATCTTTCAGTCATTTAGTGGATCGTTCAAAGCAGTAGGGAAAAATGGTGGTAAGACTGGAAGGCAGAATTAGGTCGCTGATGGCACTGCTTGTTTGCGAGTGTCTTTGCAAGTCAATATACGGATTGGAGGCACAGGGATACGGACATGCAACCGTGGCGTTCCCGAAGACGACGATCAACACTATCAGGATGTTTGAGAAGACAATGCCCCCGGGTTACACTATAGAGACCGATTTAGTCATCAAGCGAAGGCCGACCGAAAAAAACAAGAAGGAATGGAAACCGCGAGACATCGAGAAAGCTTTCAGCGAGCATCAAATTGTCCCTGACGTTGTCGATGACCCACCTGTTAATAAGTCCACGGTATGAATCATAAATAATTTTGATCCATCAAAAAGTTTCCAAAGCCGCCGTGAAGATTCAGTTCGAGGGGGAAGGAATTAAAAACAAAAAGGGTCAACTTTCACAGTCCCACGTTTATTAGGAGGGTACTTTGCGGACGCTCTGGATGGGAGGGGATCCGGGGGTCTCAGTAGAGAAATTGCAGGTGTCTGAAATTTGATGAATTTCGTGTTTAAGTGGAAACTACTGAGTGAACTGAACACGAGGATACCCTTGGTTCATGAATCGGACGATTTTGAAATAGCCTCATGCACGTTGGGCTTGTCGATTTCCTTTGACATTTTTGCAGTGGTGAATGCAAAGCTGAAGTGCGCTCCAGCTCGTATTCAGCATGAATTGTATGTGAATTGTATTTAGCAAATGGGTAATTTTTATAGGAGGATTATAAATAAACAAGTGGTTAGAAATGAAAACAAAAGAATATGAACCATGCAAAACGATAATCGGGATAGCGGAACTTGGCTGTTTTGAAAACGCCTTCAAATGCGGCGTGATACCTCACGCATTCCGGAGAGTTCAAATAGTTGTATCATTGCGCCTTAGAAATGCGACGGAAGATTACAATCGAAATAGCCTTCATGCACGCTGGGCTCGTCGATTTCCTTGGACATTTTTGCAGTGGTGAATCCATAGCTAAAATGCGCTCCAGCCAGAAGTGTATTCAGCAAATGAGTAATTTTTATAGGAGGATTGAAAACAAACAAACGGTAGGAAATAAAACATAATAATAGGAACTATGCCAAACAATAATCCGGATAGCGGAACTTGGCTGTTTTGAAAACGCCTTCAATGCGGCGTGATACCTCACGCATTCCGGGGATTCCAAATAGTTGTATCATTGCGCTGTAAGAATGTGACGGAAGATTAAAATGAAAATAGCCTCCATGCACGCTGGGCTTGTCGATTCCCTTTGACATTTTTGCAGTGGTGAATCCATAGCTAAAATGCGCTCCAGCCAGAAGTGTATTCAGAAAAGGAGTAGTTTTTATGGGAGGATTGAAAACAAACAAATGGTAGGAAATAAAACATAATAATAGGAACTTTGCAAAACAATAATCTGGATATCGGAACTTTGCTGTTTTGAAAACGCCTTCAAATGCGGCGTGATACCTCACGCATTCCGGAGAGTTCAAAAAGTTGTATTATTGCGCCTTAGGAATGCGACGGAAGATTACAAATTATTGGAGAAGATATGATAAAATAATCTAATCTACTAAAATACGTGTTTTTAAACGGGAAATGCCGCCAGATGACGTCACTAGGTGGTACATTTTCTCACTTTTATATCTATTTATATACCATTTCACATATCAAAAAAAAATTACAAAAATTACTGTGAAATCAGCTCTTTAAGCACTTTCAGATGAAGCAATAAAAAAATGTTCATGCAAATTCTACATTCGGCAGATGAAAGCAATTTTAATAAAAGCGCAAGCGTAATCTTTAGCATGTCGTGTAGGACATTCAAAAAATTACTTTCAGAGTTCGAATCTTTTTTCTTTTGTTTATTCATTTTTCATCCTAAAATAGACCACTGCTTTCAGATTTAGATACCCGTTCTAACAAGAACTGCTCCAGAAACTGAGCAATTTTTCGGTGTAACGATATGGAAATCTACACGTTGTGTGCAGTGAACGTAGAATTGTATAGTGTATGGATACGGTATTGTAAGAGTAGTAATCATGAGGAAGCTCTAGTCTACTTCGTAATAAAAACTCCGGTTCAGTTTGAACTAATTGGAGTTGTTTGTACCAAAGTGTTTGTATAACATTTACCAATAAATTATGGATGTCAGTATTTTCATTTCGAAATTCCGGCACTAAAAGAACGTCCCATAAACGTAGAGATACCTATTCCCCACCCAGTAAAAGACAAATTATCTGGAGAACATGGGATTCTTTTATTTGACATTTTCAGGAAATTTTATACTTATTTAAGCGTAAGATATTTATAAATGTCGATGAAAAATATCCTCAACATTCCAAAAAAGTATACATTTTACTAGTTAAATTTAGCAATTTTCAAATGCTCACACGGCGTTCGTCTTTAGTATGATAGTATTCTGACCCTTGACCGCTTCGCGGTACAATCTCCCGAGGCGCTTCGCGTCTCAGGCGTTTTGTGTTACGCGTGTGTCTCATATGCTTTTATGATGAAGAGTAAGATATGTCTCTTAAAAACCTCTCCTATCTTTGCAGATTCTATTTCCCTTCAACCGCTTCCCCGAATTTGGTAATGAAATGAACCTGTCCATCCACAAACACATATGTTGGGCGCAGTGGCCTGGTACCATGAACGATACTTACACTTTGATCTATACAAGTGAGTTGGTAAAGTCATCCGCATACATTTTTAAACACATTCGTATTTTCACAAAGCACCTGAAAAGATACCCTCTGCGATTAGTACTGTATTTCCTTCCACTGATGACACATACTACATGAAATGCTTCACGATAAACATTTTTAGGGAAAGCAACCGCCCCGAAATAAGATCCGCACCATCCACCTTTGTACATAGTTTTTCTTCTCTCATTTTGATGCTACGGTCTACTCGTGGGCATATGTATCTATTGGGCTTATGAATATTTCTCACCGTTTAACGCAACGCCATTTTTATCGGATTTTTAATATGATCTGGATTTGAGGATTAATGTATGAGTATTTAAATTAGGTTCATTTCCAAGAAAAACTTGCACAGGTGAATTCGCAAAATCTTGAAAAAAATCTGAATGATATAGGCTGTATTAGTATTATCAGTAATCATGATTCTTTTCGGCTCATTAAATACATTATATATAAATGCAGAGGTGATTAAATATTCATAATTCATTCATCTAACTCAAACTCATCGTTTGTTTGCGTTACATTAAAAATAATCAGAGCGATTTTCATCGTGTCTGAGTTTTCTTCCCGGAATAATGATTTTAGTAAGTCCAATAAGCGTGCTTTTTTCTGTTCTTATCCTTCGAAAGTTCCTGACGTACCAAGTCGGGATAACCCAACATCTGGGGAGTACCAAGTGTGGGTTGTTGGAAATATCGAGGGACCGATTTACATGGAGAATGGAACGTTAACTGAATATATTAAACCAACGCACCCGAACGGAACAGGTAATAAATGATTAAAGTTTAGCATTTGATAAATATCGGCATATAGATGGCCACATAGTGCGAAACAACGTACCCCCCTTGCAGTGTTTCAAAATGTCCATCCTTATTTTATTTTATTGAAAAGAGACAATCCAACTTGATAGCTCAAAATCTTTACGGAATATTTTGCCAACAGAGAGGAAAAGTCAAAGAAGTTTTCAAAAAATTACGTCAACCAGTTTCCCAGGGAAAAATAAATTAAGACAAGAAGTCTGCAAGGTCTCAAACGGAGATAGGTATGCGGTTCAACACTTTGGCCAGAAATATGTAAGTCCCGATTTAAGGGTTGAGGCAAAGAGGAAGGAAGATGTCTGACCTAATGTTGCGCAGTATTTCAATCAATTAGAAAAATACTCAGCAATTTTAGCAATTTTTTAGACTGTCATAAAATTTACGAAGAGGTCAAAAATTAAGTTAATGTTTGTGCGCCTTCTCCCAAAAATGTCGACCTTAGGTGGAATTCATGGATTTTCGCTTCACGAAACGTGCTGGAATCAGAGAGAAGGAACGCGAGGAATTTTGGCATAAGATGTCTATTCATAACTGAAAACTTGAATAGTAATTTAATTTGCGTTTTTACAATCGATGGATACGTCACGTCGCGTGGCATGCAGTTAGTAATCACCGGTAATTTGCAAGCGGTTTACATGTTAGTGGTTCCGATACATCGTAATAGTACCCATCGTATGTTCGATTGATAATGACTTTTAGAAGCCGGATTTTCTTGGAGCGCCTTCAAATCGCCGCAATACTCAACGCTTTGTCGCACGGTTAGTTTAGTTGCCTATTTGGTCAATGCCCACTTATACGCTCAATCTGTGTCCTCTGCTATCATGCTTACGCAGGCAAAATTACTTTCCCAAGTAAAGGAAAAATACTCAATTCTCTAATATTTTTCTTTTATTCCGGAATGTATCGCTTTTTATTAATCTCCAATGGCCTACGCATTGCCGGCGATTGCGGATTGCCTGTGGGAGATACACATCACCACTGATCAAATGGTTTAAACCAATTTTTAAACTCACCGCATTTTAAAACCCTGAACTTTCGTACATTATAGGTTTGCACAGACATGTCTTTCTGGTGTACAAACAACCCTTTGGGAGGTTTATTAGATTTGATGAGCCGTTCTTGGATGCCAAAACGTAAGATCCTTAGTTCTTTTTTCGTCCTGAGATTCTGTTTTGTACCTCAATACATTTTTTTACATGGTAGTCTTTCGTTTTGGTCCGAAAGAGATGATGAAAGAGTTGTCTTCTAGACTTCATGGAGAGCACAGCGTCTATTCAGAGTTAAAATTCTCTCCGACGATTTTAAATGTCTGGAATCATCGTACTGTGACGATTTTAAGTGTCTGGAATCATCATACTGTCGAGAACTTTTTTAGGCTCTCAATAAGTTAACCTCTGGTGATCTCAGAGTATTCAAAGCTTTTAGTCGCGGAATTTTGTGAACCGATTTGAGATTTTGGACTGTTACTAAAGCAAATCTCTTTCGTTGAAAAAACTTTACACTCCAAGATTAAACCTCTTGAACAGAGTGCCCTTGCTTTTAATAGCTGGTGAGTTTTAAATTTGATATTTTTTCAAGATTCCACTTGAGTATAAACAATTCTAAGACGGAATAAGTATGTATTTTGCTGCAATCAATTCCTCTCTTGGATTTGTTTATCCTCACGTGAAATACATTGAAAAATTCGAAGGTGTTAGTAAAAAATTAGAGCAGGTTATAAACCCTCCAAATGTAAGTCAAAACTAGTGCCTTCCTGCTGATTCTTTCAAGAACAGGCATAGACATAAACAATTTTCTCTATAAAATACATATTTGTGACTATATACAGGTATGCAAAGGATTTTATCTGAAAACTTTCAGGCAAAATTTAGGGAAACATTTCAAATTTGGTGATTTTGAGCTCACAACGCAAATCTTTTGGAACTAACCGCGCGCGGTTTTAGTTGTATTTTCTCATCATAGCTGATGCTCCTCTTCAGTGTACATATTATAATTTTCAAAGTAAATTTAACCTAAGACTTAGGGATTTTAGTCCTTGAGCTTTAGAACAACATATCGACGTCGTAAGTCTGCAATCACTTATCTCGTTTGCGGTTTCTGGAAATCTCTGTCTCTGTGTTTTTTTTCTAAAGGAGAACAAATTGACATCATTCCTTGAAGCTTTTTCAGAAATTTCCTCACACAGAGAAGAAAAATCACGACAGTTTTAAAGGATTGCCGTTGAGTAGTTTTCCGTTTTAAAAATAAAGTATGATAGGAAGTCTGCGACGACGTTGCAAACCAAGTTATGTGATTGCTGGCTTACACCGTCTGTATCTGCCTCAATTTTTGAGCTTTCAAGGTCAAACTTGCGTCATAATTTCTAAAATGTCTTAACTCTATGCAGCGGTACTGATAACACTAATCCGAATTTTTGGAGAATAAGATTCCTTTTTACACGACTTTCTTGATTTTTAACAAGTTCTGATCTCTGCATATGCTCTTCCTGCAGATTTGCGA